TTCTTCAACAGGGAGCGCCCGAAGGCAGGCGTGCTCCGCGGGGCCAGCGGAGATAAGGGGAAGCCAGGTGTAGATTTTCACATACGAGATAAGCATCAGGTGCATGTAAGGAGGCAGAGGCTCTGGCTCTGATTGAGGGCGGCGTGGGGACAGCGCATTTATTCGGGACTGTTGGGGGGGGGTTGTGTATTCATTCAGCTAGGATACATAGTCTGAGTGTTCGGTAGAGAACTTGAGAGAAGACAGTGCCTCTAATTATGATTAAATGCTGGTTTGGTTCTAATTTCTCAGTCTGTGGACTCCAGCCTCGGGGGCCTTTCTCGGTCCAGCACGGTGGCCAGCCTGGACACGGACTCCACCAAAAGCTCAGGTACAGGAAGGGCGGGGTCATGCGTCCTCTGAGGCTCACACCGTTTCACCCGGTGGCACGAGTTCTGGTGTGTTTGGGTTTCTTTCTCTCCTCTGCCATTTTGACAAGAGTTTAGAAACGGCCCAAGATCTGGTGGAATGAGGGTTGGGGGGTGTGTGTGAGGTGGTTAGTGAAAGCCGCTGGCCGGGGCAGGTGCCAAACTGCTCTTAACGGTCCTAGAGCAAAGCATGCGGAGCACATGGTGGTGACTGTTGGGAAGTGTCACAATCGCTTTCTAAGAAATGGGGCGGCAGCGCATGGATTCCATTGTTTATGGGTTTAGGACAAATGCCCTGCTGACGAGAAGGATTAGAGAGCCGTTTGTCCAGAAGACACCAGCTTGTAAGCCCCAGGAGCACATGTGATTAAGTGTAGCATCTCTCAGACACTTGAAGACATGTATGCAGGCACCGCCATGAGCAGCTCTTTAGAAATTAAAAGACAGCTTCTAACTACCAACAGCCAGTATCTACTTGAAAATACACCATGTTCATCTGTCCAAACTCCTCCCACTGTTCCTTTCAGGATCATAGACTTGTCCGTCTGTAAAAGTTGGGAGCGGGGAGAGAATAAACGTAGGATGTAAAATAGAATATACGGTAGAAGCACAAGGTCTGTTGCCTTCCAGATGCCTTTAAAATATTAGAAATGTGGCTGGGCGTCTTTCTTACATGAACATCACCTACAAGTCATCACACAGTATTTATTTCCTTACTGTGGAGCAGCACACACATTTTGGTGATTTGTATTGACTACGTTTTATAGCTCGCACACTTCTTCATCCTTTACCGTCGGTTAAGGGACTTCCTGTCCAGCATTATTCCTTCTGCATTAAAAACAAATTGCCTTTTCTGGTTCAGGTAGAGATAGGTCAGGTTTCCTGAATCAGAAAAGCAAGTTCATCACTAATATGGTAAAGAGGGAGAAGCAGCCGGAAAACAATTGTGTCATTATGCATCAGAAAGGGACTCAGTCATTACCTAGTTGACACCTTTCTTGTTTGTTTGAAATGAAAGGTATTAATTAACTTACTCCTATTTAGATTTTCATATTTAGCAATATTGTAACTGAGGAAGAGGTTAGTGAGATTTTAAGATCTTTCCCATTCTATAAAAAAACTGTATGTCAGGAAATTTATTTTTGTTAGTCTGTTTCTTATTTGGGCAGGGATTGAGGACAGGAAAGTCTTACGCAGAATGTTCGCTCACCTTTAGGACAAAGCAACAACTCAGACGCCTGTGCGGAATTCCGAATAAGATACGTCGGTGCCATTGAGAAACTGAACCTCTCTGAAGGAAAACGTCTGGAAGGGCCACTGGACCTGATAAATTACATAGACGTTGCCCAGGTAAAGACAAAAATGTCCCAGTTTGTAAGATTCTAGAGGGTAAACTCTGGCTTTGGAGAAACACATGGCTTGTCCCCAAGCCTGGCTACCTCACAGTTAGAGTGTGGGTGACAGAGGCACAGGTGTCCTGGACCATGGTCGCCTGGGAACAGCCGTTCCTTCCCACAAACGGGACTTTTCACTTTTTCTGGGGCCGACGCACCTCCTCGTTGCAGTGAGGCACGGAGCCGCGGCGGGTGACATGCCACAGGCTTGTCTGCAAAGCCGCCTGCCCCATCCTGGATCTCCGCCGAACTCGGTTAGCTCCTCGATAATCTTAAGCGGCGACCTAGCGCACCTGCTTATTCCTGCCGTTTCCAGAACTGAGGCCCAGGAGGTGGAAGGGGGAAGTGCGTGTCTGCTCCCTAACGGGGATATCGGGCCAGGGAAGGTTCCCTATCGGGCCACAGTGCCGGTCCTGAGAACCTGTTCTCGAAGCCATGGCCAAGGGGTCATTGTTCATACCCTCAGGAGTCTCGTCGGTGAGGACATCGCCGTTCGAACTTGCCATGTGACAGACAGAGCCTTTGGTAGTCGGGGCTGGCGTGGTTAGTGTCCCAGGTTTAGTCTGGAATACAGTGGTTTCTACAACGCGCAAACTCACATCACTGTCACACGGGGAGATTGCTAACGTTTCCCCCAGACCACACTCGGCTTCTTTTCCTTCCGACAGGGACTGCTCACTCCTCCTGTCACCGGAGAAATGGGCTTGTCCCAGTCACTGGCAGTAGCATTACGGTTATCCCGTCCTCCGATTCCTGGAACTGCCTTAAACTGTGAGAAATGACGGGGGGTGGGGTGGGTTCCCGCAGCACTGTGAGCACCCCAGAACTGAGGCAAGTGGGCATTGCTCCTTTACCACAGTGGCTTCGATGTAGGCAAACGGTCCCCTGAAACACTTACAGTCGGAGCATCTACTGATGCCTACGGGACCTGATGTTAGAGAAGACAAGTGAGGCCACATTCTCATGTAGGAGAGAACCCATCAGTCGGAGAGAGCTCGCACTGCTAATGGATAGGCTGGAGGGCGAGTAACTATCCATCAAGCACTGTTTCCTCACCCAAACCCTGGGGCGTGGGGAGCGCCGGGCAGAGCCAGCCGACCACTGGGTGCACTATCACGTGGCTGCGAAAGATGGTTCCTGCGGTGTGTTCCCTGACCACGTGCTGACATGAGTATGAACTATTTCTTCTAAGTGAGCCACTAACCCTCACCCGGATCGGAGAGGGGTCGGAGGCTGTAATGAGGCTTCATCCCCGCAGGGAGGGAAAAGGCCCTGGAGTGCGTGGGCCTGAATTTTGCTCACATTTGTTGGCTGTAAAAACAAAGGGGGGCGGCCAGGGGGTTTCTCCTCTTTGGAGAGACATTCTGGCTGCGCTGCTGTGTGCGCCGCGTTCTTTAAAGAGCTTGGGGTCTGGGAGCCGGGTCCTAAGGCGGGTTTATGGTCACGGTTTTGAGTGTGCGCCCGTCCTTTTTCCTGCAGCAAGATGGGAAGCTGCCTTTCGTTCCCCTGGAGGAAGAAGTGATTATGGGCGTTTCCAAGTACGGCATCAAAGTATCCACACCCGATCAGTATGTAAGTGATCAGGAAGGGGGTGTGTGTGTGTGTGTGTGGGGGGCGTGGTCAGGGCCACTGGCCGCTGGCCTGCTCCTGTCTGCAGAGCCGGGGGTTGGGCACGTGCCTGGCCTCCGGTCTGAAAAGCCGCCGGCTTCTTAGGGTGGGTGGAGGGAGCTTCCCTTTGGCGCTCCTGTGTGGTGGGGCCCAGGCCAGCACCTCCGCTGCCCACAGGCCTGTTAACTTGGAACCCCACCCCCTGCCAGTTCAGGAGGGCCGCCAGCTGGGGGCTGGGCGGGGAGGACTGAGTGGTGAACTTGGGTCGCCTGACTCCTGTCTTTCTGGTGTCCAAGGAGCCAGGGGTAACCCCGGGGCTGAGCAACTGGGACGCCCTTTGGGCGGAAAACCTGATCTTGTGTTTCCAAGCCTCACAGAAAACTTGTGCAGGGGAAAGGGCGTCCTTAGGGATGGAGATGCCCACGCCATCACGGTCTCTCTCCCCCCGCAGGACGTGCTGCACAGGCACGCCCTCTACCTGATCATCAGGATGGTGTGCTACGACGACGGCCTGGGGGCGGGGAAAAGCCTGCTGGCGCTGAAGACCACCGATGCCAGCAGCGAGGAGGTCAGCCTGTGGGTGTACCAGTGCAGCAGCCTGGTGAGGCTCCGTCTCCGTGGTTCTCACTCACCAGAGTCGAAAAACCAGAGGCTGCGGGATGCTCTCCCCGTGTCTGACCCCGGCACACGTGCACACGTGGCCGTCAGCCCCGTCCGGGCCTCCTGCGGGGGACCGTGTGCGGGTCAGAGGTTCAGGGTGCACACACAGCAGATGGGGGAGGGGGTCCTCTGGGGCAGGGGCCCTCCTTTTCCTGGCGTGTCCTTCCGGGCTGGCAGTGGTCCAAGTCGGCCATGTCACGCGTGGGGTGGGAAGCGTAAGGGGCAGGTTCACGCCTGTGCTGGTCAGGTGAAGTTCAGGGGCAGATTGTGAACTTCCTTCCTGTGCTTTCGCTCAACGTAGGAGCAAGCACAGGCCATCTGCAAGGTCCTGTCGGCCGCTTTCGACTCCGTGCTGACGGCCGAGAAGGCGTGAGTCTGCCGGGCGGATCGGCGTCGCGGGAGGAAGATGGGCTGTTTTCCGACTGGCTTTCAGTCTGCAGCGCTGACCTAGCACGGAAGTAGGAAGTGACCCCTTGTTCTAGATGTTCTGTTTTTCTATTAAAATGTCTTATTAACAGTGAGTTAACTCAGCGAAGTTACAATTGGGACTAAGAAAGAAACCTCATTTGTTGCTTTTAAACACAAATGAGCGTAACCCCTCCCTTAAGGGTCCGGGAGGTGCGCTCAGTGAGCAATAAAGGTCGAGAACCTGCAGAGGGAGCCCAAGCCGCTGCTCCGGCCTCCCCAGGGCCTGGTCTTTCTGGCTCAGCGCTCTGGCCTGGGGACGCGCCGCTGCCCCCGGACACAAGAGGTAAAACGTTAAAAGTCTGTCATCAGGATGACATGCCAGTCAGCTTCCACCTTCACCTGAGTGGACAGAACCGCACGTGTCAAAATAGCGACTAAAGACGCTCACGTACAGCAGCTGGTTAGTGAAGGGCTGTTTCCCACACACAGAGCTTGAAGGGTTTAAAACAAAACCAAGCCCATGTCCATTTAAAAGTATTTTATTTTTTCTAGTCAAATGACTAGTCACCAAGAAGAGTAGACTTATTAACATGCTCTAGGTATAAATCACTGCATCGAGGACAATGAAAATAAGGATTTAGGTTATACAATATGTACAGTTGCGCTGCAACTAGACCAAAGGAATCGAGTGGATGAATTGAGTATCATACATCTCCGAGCATTTCCAGCTGCATGTGGCAGTGCCCACCCTCAGCAGAGCACATGGGGTCTGCCCGTTTCCCAGTCCTCATGCCTGCAGTCAGACCTGACCAGGGGCACACACAATGCCAGGATCCCATAACGAAGTTCATGAAACATAAACCTGGAAATAAATAGATATCTACAACACTTTCCTTTCTCTCACTTTTTAAATTTATTTGCAGAGAGCAAATAAGTGGGAAAGGCTATCAGCAGGGAAGTTGATGATTTCTCCTCTGACAAGAGTCATATCCATTATGCACAATAGCACCGCCGAACTGTAGCCTGGGAAGTATTTCCTGGATGTCTGTCCCAGTGAGCCTGGGACATTAGATTGGGAGTGGTATTCGAATGTTGATAGGATCAACTTTAATTCTCACATAGTGGCACCGAGGAGTCAAAGGCGGATTGTAAGAGGCAGATGTGGGGGGACTGTGTTAAAGTAAGTGCGTGGTGCAAAAACACATCCGTTCACTTCCGTAAATCTGCGAGAAAGTTAACTAAATGGAGGGTTCAAACAACAGAAGCTAACAATCAGTGAAAAGAGATGTAGTGCTTTAAAAATAAGACTAATTACACAGCTAACACACTTTACCTGGAACTGTGACAGGCAAAGGGCAACGGGCATACAACATCATAAAACATTCCAGTTCTGTCTTCCTTTAGAATAGCAATGAAAAACAACACAATCACAAACAAAAGCAAACATCCTACACTTAGAAGAAGGACCCGCGTGACACGGGCTGCTCCGCTCCAAGGCGCCGCCGCCTCGCTCTCCTCCCCGAGCCTGCACCGCGGCTCAGGCCTGGGCTGGTGGTAAAAAGCCAGGTGGGCACTTCTGCCTGTTTCTCCTCACAGAGCCGGCGTTTCCCACATCCTCCCGTGAACACGCTCTATGACTAGGTAGAGGTATGACAGTCGAGTTCATCAAACTAATGAATTGATTTGATCACATACAACCTAACCCCCTAGCCCCAGTAGCTTACGTGTAAGAAAGATATGACGCTTAGAGTAAAACTGGGACGTCCGGGTGTTTCATTCCCGGGGCCTACGGGTTTCTGATATGCGCTTGGCTACCGACGAAGGAAGATTAAATGTCAAGACAGTGTAACCACCAACCTATTGGTGTGGGATATAAATACCAGACACTAGACTGGGGCGCTCTCGGGCGAGAAGAGAAGGCGGGCACACTCAGTGGGAAACGAGCGGGTGGGTGGCAACAGCGGGCTGCCTGTGCGACAGAGGGAGCTCAGGAAGGCAGTTTCCAAACACCTAGAGCATCCAAGCGAGTGGGGAGAACCCCTTTGCAATCCATCGTCGTCAGTTTTTAACCGAACTCAGGAAACGCAGTGTCCCCCGCCCACCCCCCCGCCCGGAACTGAATGAACTGTTATGTCGTGCGCCACGATCAGCTATTGGCAGTTCTGTTAGGGAGGATGGACTGTTCACAACAGGTGACACACACATGCAGAACACAAGGAGTGCCGCCCCTCACACATCAGGGTTGGAGTGTACAATGCTAGTGTCCATTTCCAAGTGGCTTTAACTGAACACTGGGTGGCTTTCAAGGGAAATCTTAAGAAGGCATTTGTCAAAGGTCTCTAAAGGGGAACCGATAGCACGTAGCCTCCTCAACAACAAATAGCTGGCGAGCACCGACGTCATCGGGCCAAGGAGAGCAGGCAGAATTTCCGGTCCTCGAACCGGGTTCCGCTCATTCTGTCGATTTGGGATCTTGACTGTGTACTTAAAATAGCTTTTTAGCTCACCTTTTAGGCAATTCAGTTTTTCCTAATAAAAGTAGAGCCGTGTTTCATGAAAATCACAAATTATAAAAAACGATCCATTTGTAGATAGAAATTGCCTGTGAGTTTTAAAAACAGAACGGTGAGTGGCATTTGAGCAAGTGGGCCTACAGTTCCTGAAACTGGTTTCTGGCAAGAGTGTGGGTACCAATAACGAACAGGAACGTCACTGCTAAGGGTGCTTGTTCAGCAGCGATTCAGTCCACAATAAAGTGCACAAAAGACACGGGAAAGGCTCCTTTGCGGCTGGGGTCTCCATCGAGGTGGCCGATCTGAAAGAATAAACGTTTGGGTGGTTATAAAACTCCCAGCTGCTGGGAACTCGAAAGGGCACTGCACCATCTGGAGAAGAAAATATTGTTCAGAAGAATCTCTGCTGAGAAGGAATCACTTGGGTAAGACGCCTAAACTGCTTTCCCTCACAGAGCCTGGCCTACTTTCCGCAAGGCTCTCCCTCAGAGGGCTCTGTCTGCGGAGCCCTCACCACCGTGTCCTGGCGATCTTGGGGGCGACAGACAGGCTTGCCATTTTTTCCCCCTTTAATGGATGAAGAAATTGAGTGTCAGGAGTATGTGAACTGGCCCTGTTTGAACGTAGCCATGCATTCACGAAGACCAATAAATCCGTTCCTTCTTGCTTTGGGTAAATTACTTAAGTTACACATCACGTCTGACCTCAACGATGTGAATTATGCAGGTAAATAAGAGTCGAAAAGAAAATAAAAATGTTTTCTGGGGTGGGGCTGAGATCATGGTGCACTTGCTGTCTTTACACCTTTCTGCATTTCCCCAGCGGCCCGCAGGCCTGAGGACACTCGGGCACGGAGGGCCTCACGTGGCAGACCTCGGCCAGGTGGGCAGGGATTCAGCCCCGACTCACCCACCACTCTTGGTCCTCTTCCCCGTCCACAATGATCACGTCCCCCTCGGAGAACGTCAGCTCATCTGGGTTGTCGGCCACGCAGTTGTAGAGGGCTTTCACCCGCTTGGGCTTCAGCTTGGCCTGGGTGCAGAAGGGAGGGGTCAGAGGTCAGTGAGAGGCGGCACCAGCTCCTGGGAAGAGACCTGGGAGGCACAGGTCTGTCAGGATGGGGCGGCCCAGCCCGCCCGGTGCGGGTCAACGGTAGAGCATCGACCCATGAACCAGGAGGTCATAGCTCGATTCCCGGTCGGGGCATGTGCCCGGGATGCAGGAGACAGCCCATCAATGATTCTCTCTCATCATTGATGTTTCTGTCCCTCCCTCTCTCTCTGAAATCAATAAAAACATTTTTAAAAAGATGGGGCGGCTCAGGGGAGCTCAGGGGCCAGGACACTTGGAGAGCCGGGAGCGTGGCAGCCGGGGCTGATGTGCGTGGGGTGTCCTGGGGCGTCAGGAGAGGGCTGAGTCCCCCGGCCTGCGAGCTCTGGGTTGCGTCCTGACCAGATCCAAAGACCGGGTACCCAGGGAGAAGCCACCCACCCCCCAGCCAGGGAAGACCTGCTTCCTCCGAGCCCTCGAGGCACAGCCCGCACCCCTCTGGCCAGGCAGGAGGGCTGGCCGCTTACCGCCTGTGACTTCCTGGGCATGGGCGCGGGGGGCTGCAGGGCCGGGGTGTTGGACAGAGAACCCAGAGCTTCTGTTCCGGAGACGTCCGCTGCTGGAGGACAGAACGCGTCAGCTCGCAGTGTGCTCCCGCCCAACCACGGACAGACACACTGAGAGAGCCGGTGCCGGGCCTGAAGGCGGGGTTCCCGAAACGTTCTCATCTGTTGGGGGAAAAGTCCCCCAGGCCAACCAGCCTGTGACCTCCATGCACCCTCGGTAGGTGTGCGGGTGTCACAGTGGATGGGCGCCTCCTGCAGACGAGCTGGTCCCGCCGGGGGCTCCTGGCCCTCCCACCCCCCGCAGCCACAGGACCCAGGACGGGGAGCATCAGAGGCTCCATGGGGGGCAGGGGGGCAGCTGGTGGGGCAGCCGGGCCCTCACACGGCTGCCACCCCGGACCCTGCCCCCACCCCCACTCACCAAGCGGAAGGAAAGCCCAGCCCCAAATGAGAGCATTACCAGGGCCTCGCGGCTGGCCTTTGCTGATCAGTGGGGTCGACTTGTCAGTCCTACAAAGAAGGGAAACAGATGGGCTGACACCTGAGGCCTGGGGCACGCACCTCCCCCCACCCCCGCATCGGCACCGTCTGCGCTCCACGTGCAATGGGTGGGCTGATCCAATAAATTGTCTTTTAACTACAGCTGGCGTGGCTCAGTGGTTGAGCGTTGACCTATGAACCAGGAGGTCACAGTTTGATTCCCAGTCAGGGCCCATCAGCGCCCAAGGCCACAGGTAGGGGAACGGTTCTCAGGCCGCAGACACGAGTCTGTTCTGGATAAACTGTCTCTCTGGGCTGGCACTTTCATCTGAAAAGGTGGCCCCCAGTGCTGCCAACCCTCAGAATAAGGTCGCGTGACAGCGTCTGGGCTGAGCCGGGAGAGGAGCGCCATCAGGCTCCCTGTGAGCCTCGCTGCGCCCATCCGGCCGGGCACACGGCGGGGCTGGGACCCACAGGCAGGGGCTGCGGGAACAGGGACTGGGTCTGGCCCGCGGGCAGAGTTCTGCTCTGAGAGAACAAAAGGGAGAGGCCGACGTATCCCCAGGATCAAGGTCCGGGCTGTGGGGGGCTTCCTCCACCAGGAGCCTCCCGCAGTGGTCCCTTTAGGACAGTGGTCGGCAAACTCACTAGTCAACAGAGCCAAATATCACCAGTACAATGGTTGACATTTCTTTTGAGAGCCTAATTTTTTAAACTTAAACTATCTAGGTAGGTACATTGTTATTAATTAGGGTCCTCCTAAGGCTTAGGAAGAGCCACACTCAAGGGGCCACAGAGCCGCGTGTGGCTCGCGAGCCGCAGTTTGCCGACCACGGCTTTAGGGGCAGAGCCCATGGGGCAACGGGCGCAATGCCCTCCGCCCGCCCAGATGCCCTGGAGGTCCTCGGGCATCACCCGCTTTGCACCCTCCCCGACGAGAGAGGGTTCCACGGAACAGGTGAAACAGAGGAGACGCCCCGCACACAGGCGGAGTCCTCCTGAGGCCAGGGCAGCAGCAGAGGCCTCGTGCGGGAGGAGAGAGCCGCAGCCCGCCCTGACCCTGACCCTGACCCTGACCCTGAGCACGTGGCTTGGTCTCTTAAAGAGCAGCAGCTGGGGAAGAGCAAACCTGAGGGTGTTACCCGGGAAGAGAGAAGAAAGCGGAGACGCCCAGGCCCGCACACAGGACGCAGAAGCCAGCCGGCGGCCTCTCGGGGGTCTGTGAGCACGTCCTCCCGCCGGGACACACCCGGTCCCCGGCCAGGCCTCCTGCCTGTTTCTAAGAACAGGAAGGCAAGGCCCCGCGGTTCTCTCCAGAAAGAGCCGGCGAAGAGCCCGGCACTGAAAGGCCCCGAGAGCGTTCTGGTGAATACATTTACTTCCACTTTCTCCCACGGAACAGAATTAAAAAAAAAAAATTAAACCAAAACTAACAAAGAGAAAGGAAGGGAACAGTCCTGGAAGCTGAGAGCGGAGGGAGGAGCACCAGCAGCCTCGCTCCGAGGAAGGAGAAGGTCTGCAGTCAGGGAACGTCGGCTCGGCCGTGTGTGCTTGAGCCCCAGGCCTCGGGAGAGGGGGGATGGGACCACGAACGCGAGAGGGGCCCATGCCCGCTCCAGGAAACTAGAAGGGCGCGGACAGAGCTGCACTTCCAGCCCCGGCCTCCAGGTGGGGCCACAGGACCAGCGCTGGTCAAAGGAGCTTGTGCATCACCCCAGCCAAGGAGGTTAGCACACCTGCCTATCTCTTGCCCTCAGAAGTAACCTGGGCCCCGGGGATGAAGATGGTGCAGGCAGAGGTGAGCCGGGCCTGGTCTCCGCCCCCCCCCGCCCCCCCGGCACTGCTGTACACGCAAGAACGTGGACCCAACGTTGTCTGGGCAAGAAGTGAACTCTCACATGTTCAACCGCCGAGAGGCAGGGGCGGGTGCTAGAGCAGCTGGCGGACCCACAGGGAGGGAGGAAAGGCCGGGGGCCTGACATCTGAAGATACAAATCATTTGAAAGCTGAGAACAGAGCCTGGCCGGGGGGCTCAGTGGCTGGAGCACTGTCCCCATAGGCCAGTGATGGCGAACCTTCTGAGCTCGGCGTGTCAGCATTTTGAAAAACCCTAACTTAACTCTGGTGCCGTGTCACATATAGAAATTTTTTGATATTTGCAACCACAGTAAAACAAAGACTTATATTTTTGATATTTATTTTATATATTTAAATGCCATTTAACAAAGAAAAATCAACCAAAAATATGAGTTCGCGTGTCACCTGACACGCGTGTCATAGGTTCGCATCACTGCCATAGACCAAGGTTGCAGGTTAAATCTTTGGTCAGGGCACATACAGGAAGCAACCAATAAATGCATAAATAAGTGAAACAACAAACCAATGTTCCTCTCTGTCTCCAAAATCAATACATTAGAACTGAGAACAGAAAAAACAGAAGGCATTAAACATAACCAGTGAAGTTTCTCAGAACTAAAGGGTATTGTGTGTGTGCCACACCCACCTGGTGGCACGCATGCCAACAGACACACCCTAGGGTGCAGGGTGAGCGGGGAAGGTGTCCTCCTGGCGGGGGACAGGCACAGGGGACACCCTGGCGGGGGAGTGGGAGTCCCGCAGGGTCCGGACGCCTGCACATGGGGCCCCGATCTCAGCAGGAGGAGGCGGCACTAATACTGATCAAGGAAGTGGACACGCCAGCCAGACCTCTCGTTACAGAGAGAGGGAATACCGAGTCCAGAGAGGGAGGACATGAGAGTGAACCCTGGGGTACTGTTAGAGCACTGCCCCCCAGTTCTTCATGGGGAGCTGGATTCTGATCACCCGACTCCCGACTGAGCCCGACTCTGCCACTGCGTGACCAGCAACACCCAGCAGAAGGGAGGCCCTGCCGTTCCCAGGGCCAGGCCTATCCCTTGGGACTCGTGCTCGGGCCCGGCCACCATGATGTGAGGAAGCCCTCGCCACACTGGGAGGCCGCGTACATGCGTGTAAGTATTCCAGCCCTCAGCCCCAGCCGGGTCCCTACTGTCAGCCCGCCCCACGACCAGCGGAGCGGAGCGCAGAGGCCTCCCACATAATCCCGCCGGTGAGTTCCTCTCTGTAACCTTGCGCCTGAGCACAAACAACCCAGAGGCCGTGTGTCGTGAGGGTCTGATTCCCCAAACCCCACCATCTGTCCTGCAGAGAAACCTACATTCGTCATGAGGACGGAAGACAGACATCCGTGTGAAGTTCTTACAGTTTAAAAACCCTGGGTAAATCATGTTCAAGACGCTGAAACCCGGTGGGACCGGCCCGCGTCACGTCACCTCCCAGGTCACAGCAGTGGACACACGGGGTTTCACGCCTGCACGGAAATCTCCGCAGAAAAGCGCTGCGGCCACTCGGAGGCCCTCGGAATGCAAGAAGCGAGGCCGGGCCAGATGGCCAGCCCGGGGGATGGGAAGGGAGCGTACCCCGGAGCAGGCCTCCTCTGCGGGAGGCGGCTGGGCGGCTGCGGCTGCGGCAGGGTCGGGGCTGTGGTCTTGCCCGGCGGGGTCAGCTTGCTTTGCTGGCTCAGGGCTTCCAGGGCACCGGGCATCTTTGCTGCGGGAGCAGGTGGCGTGGGAGCCAGGGGGTCTGCGGAGAGAGGAGGGGACGGGGAGACAGAGGGTCACGTCCAGGTGGCACGCCCGGCCTTCCCGCGGGCCTCTCCCATCAGCGCTGCGTCGCTATTTCGCAAAGAAAAGCCCGTGTTCACTGCAGAGTCTCCATTCACAGTATCGCGGGGAGTCCTCCCAAGCCTCGACTTAGGGTTCAAACGTCCCTACGAGCCCGGGAGTGTTTCTCCGAGGGAATTCCCGGGGAGAAGCCGGGATCCAGGATGTGGTGTGTGACCTGGGGGGATGGCGGCCGCGGAGGCTGAGGCT